AAGTGTTCAGGTGAACTACATTTCTTACTTCCACAAGTTATAACCTTCAAGGCTAAAAACAACCATGCCATGCACATTGTAGGAATCACTGCCAATTCCGTTTATATTCTATTAGTGAGATACAAGCTCCACCAAAGCAGCTTCTTCCTCCAAACTGATGTGGCACAAAGAAATTTGAGCTTCTCAACAACGTGGATATGTTAATGACTCTTCTCAAAGTTATACACACAAAAGTATATATCTATATAAAGATATTCAAGCCCCTGAAAAATGTTGGTTATGTTAATGGATCTTCTCAAAGTTATAGACACAAAGGTATATATCTATATAAAGATATTTGAGCTTCTGAACAACGTTGGATATTCTAATGACTCTTCTCAAAGTTATAGACACAAAGGTATATATCTATATAAAGATATTCGAGACCCTGAAAAATGTTGGATATGTCAATAGATCTTCTCAAAGTTATAGACACAAAAGTATATATCTATATAAAGATATTCAAGCCCCTGAAAAATGTTGGATATGTTAATGGATCTTCTCAAAGTTATAGACACAAAGGTATATATCTATATAAAGATATTTGAGCTTCTGAACAATGTTGGATATTCTAATGACTCTTCTCAAAGTTATAGATACAAAAGTATATATCTATATAAAGATATTCAAGCCCCTGAAAAATGTTGGATATGTTAATGGATCTTCTCAAAGTTATAGACACAAAAGTATATATCTATATAAAGATATTTGAGCTTCTAAACAATGGTGGATATTCAAATGACTCTTCTCAAAGTTATAGACACAAAAGTATATATCTATATAAAGAGATTTGAGCCTCTGAACAATGTTGGATATGTTAATGATTCTTCTTAAAGTTATGGACTATATGAGAAATATTTATTTTAAATATGATTATATAATCCTATGACTAATACTGTGAAATTTAGCAGAAGATATGTATCTTGGTGTACAACAATTTAATGTTTGATCAATTTTTCTTGGTAGTTACAAGAACAAAAAATGGAATTATCATATTGAGGAAATGCCTACTGTTTCTTCCTGATATCAATGAGCTGACAATGCATAATAAACAAACAGAAGCAGCAAATGTTTGAGGATGGTAAGATTATTATGTTACAAAATGTAATTGCAAATTTAGAGCTGTCAAATTTGTCAACATTTATGCTATTGCCGGAGATGGCATCATCCGGGGAAAGGTGGGGATTGTTCTTTTTTTATTTGATTTTTTTAAAATGATTTTTCATCTTTTCTCTGTCATCTCTTTACTTTCTTTATTTATCATTTCCAGTTTATGAACTCAATGTTTTGTTTTTATATGTTTCATAATTGAAAGAAAATTTTTGGGGATACGTAATAGTATAGCAAGTGTGATCTTAAACAGGTTACCTGTTGTTGTGAATTTAGGCTAAATTCCCTCAGCTCATTCGCGCTTTGTTTCACTCTTTAGTGTTTTATTTTCATTAGAAATTTTTTCAGTTTCTTTTTCTTCTGATTGCTATATATATATATATATATATATATATATATATATATATATATATATATATGTGTGTGTGTGTGTGTGTGTGTGTGTGTGTGAAAAATATATAGAAAATAGGAAAGAACTCATTAGGTAAATAATCCAAAGTTCTTTAGTAGTTTTGTTATTATTTTTAAAGAATAGTGCTCGATACAAAAGTATCATATGGAATCATATTTTTAAATAAATAATTATATATATATATATATGTATATTTTTTTTCCTTTTCCATTGTCATTCATTTCTGTAGTTCACTGATACTAACAAGCAGAAAATTTTTTTCTCCTGATGGTGGCCATGTTGGCGAAAACTAGTCGAGGAATCTAACTGAAATAATAAAACAAAAAAATATTAATATACAACCCAGTGTGTCTGAAAATTTTTATTTTTCAATATTTTTTATTGTTCAAAACATATATATATATTAAAGAAAAAACAGATCACTTTAAGGTTCTATTATAATAATTTATTTAACCAGAGCCCTTTTAAATGATGCTGGATCATCAGATAGAAAAAGAAAGATGAAATGAAAATTCACACTTTATATATATATATATATATATATATATATATATATATATATATATATATCAGGTCATCCCATAAGTTCTGTCCGAATATTAACTTTTTGTTAAAATGAATGAAATTTAAAGAGTATTTTATAATGTTTAATGGAGCTGAACATTATCTTTATGTTTAGATACATTTAAACTGATCAAATTTTATTTCAGAGAACAATAACATTAAATTTTGTCTGATTAAAACCCTGCTAACATGGAAGTACCCAAGAATCATTTGAGGCACATAATGCTTTATGAGTTCAAGAAAGGAAACTCAACGGCTAGAAACATTCACTCAGTTTATGGAGAGGAATGTGTGAATGAAAGAACTTGCAGAAGATGGTTTGCAAAATTCAGAAGTGGAGATTTCACCCCTGAAGATGAAGATTAAACCAGACGTCCAGTTGAGTTTGATGAAAAGCTTCTTGAAGCAGCCCTTGAAGAAAATCCTGCTTTATCAGTTGAGGAATTGGCAGTGGTTCTCAGTTCAAACCATACAACTGTTCATCGTCATCTTCAACAACTTGGAAAAGTTCCTAAACTTGGAAAATGGGTGCCTCATGAATTGTCTGAAAACAACCTCAAATCCCAAGTTGACATCTGCTCTTCTCTCCATTCTCGCCAACTTGTTTCACCTTTTTTGGATAGACTTATGACTGGTGATGAAAAATGGATCTTTTTTTGAAATGTTAAGCATTATAGACACTGGCTTGGTAAAGGGGAAGGACCCCAGCCACAGCTGAGAAGGGAACTTCATGGGCAAAAGGTTCTTTCAATCTGGTGGGATCGCCAAGGAATAATCCACTTTGAATTCTTACCACCTAATGCAACAATTAATGCTCACATATACTGACAGAAATTAGAGTGTTTGAACCAAGCTTTGAGGAAAAAATACCTGCTCTAGTGAATCGAAAAGAGGTGATGTTTCATCAGGACAGTGCGCGACCCCACACAGCAAGAATCACATCACAAAAGATCGAAGAACTTGGTTGGGAGAAAATTCCTCATCCACCTTATTCTCCTTCAGACTACCATTTGTTTCGTATCTTACAGAATCATTTGGAAGAAACAGCTTTTGTAATACAGGGAGAGGTTAAAACTGACATTTGTGAGTTCTTTGAATCAAAGAATTTTACAATAATGGAATTAGTAAGCTTGTTAATAGATGGAAGGAAGTCATAGATAATCAGGGAAAATACATTGTTGATTGAATCTGTAATTAAATGTCACTTGTTTTCTTTATTCAAAATTTGGACAGAACTTATGGGATGACCTGCTATATATTTTATGATGATGTTCATCCTATATAGGCCTAATGCCTCTTGTATTTAGGGTTACAAGTAATAGACACTTCAGTTTATACAGATAATTTTATAAAATTTTTAATCCTAGACTTGAGTTTTTAAGATTGTACTAAATGAGAAAACACCTTCTTGGGAGTCAGTTAACAATAGCAGTTTTGAAGGAAGATATCATTTAAGTGGAACATTTAAAAAATAAATGGAAAAAAAAAATGTATCTTTTTTTTCCATATTCATGTTGACTTTCTTATTAACTAAAGGTTTTTGGTGGACGTTAACAAAATATGATAAACACAATAGAAGTTTACAATATTCTGTCTGTGAGAAAGGATTGCAACCAAAAAAATAATATCAATCACATCATCTAAGCCTGGGGAAAAAATGACTCTTTAAGACTGCTATTAAGAAAAAATCGATGAATTCTCATGGCTAATATACAGCAAGCTTCATTTCGCTTCTCATACACAAAGAATTTTTCTTTCATCAATTCTTTCTATTTTTTTTATTTTTTTAAATTTTTTTATTATTATTATTGAACCTAACTTCATATGGCACAAAGGATTAACAACAGGTAACCCATTTAAGATTGCATTTGGGTACCTTGAAACTGTGTAATGAATTATCAAGCTTGTCTTACTAAAACAGTTACAACTGGAGAGTGAGTTCAATCCTCTTTGGTCTTTTATTTACTTTTCACCTTTATGTCACATCTAAAATTTATGCTTATAAAAAAAAATTTAAGATCACACTTACTATACTATAAAAACCAAAAAATTTCAATCATGAACATATTGAAAAGAATGAAAAAAAACATTTTTTAAATAAATTATTTGATAAGAACCAAATGATGCTAATTAATGTCCCCCATTTTTAAATTTGCACTTTGTCTTCATTTTATCCTCCTCACACTGTTGTGACTAAGACATGTTTTCCAGCAATAATATTTAGTCTGTGGAAAAATGCAATAGAATGGATAAATCAAATAATAATGATGAATAATAAAAATAAAATAAATAGATTTTCCCATGTTGCTGGATTTAAAATATCATTAATTCACTTAGTTTAGTCAAACATTGAGAAAAATAGACGAAAAAATCTATAAAAGGCAACTATTTCTAAAAATCTCTTTATCTTCTTTGCTAAAATGTATTAAACATGGTAATTATGTTCCTTCTGGGAAATGTTAGTTTTCCCAGCTCACTTTCTAAAGAACTCTATTTTAACTTTCAATGACAGCATATGACATTTTTGATATAATATATCAAATAAAAATTTGGTACTTAATATGTTAAAGAAAGAATAATAAAAAAGACAGCCTTTTTCTTTTTGAAATTAAATTTATAGGACAGTAAATCATTTTGTTCTACTTTAAATTCCAGTTGAGTTCATTGCATTCACTTACATACTAATACCCTTAAGAAATGTATGAATTCATCTCTTATCCCAGCTATGGGTAAAATAGCAGGACAGAGTGGGTTCATTCTATAGCCTTGGGTGATAAACAGTCTAGGAGAAGGAAAAACTCTGAATTCAAAACCTCCAAATATGAGTAAATAGTCGGGTAGTTTTGACTCTTAGCAAAAACACTCTTAACAAAATATGTCCCATCCTTCCTTATTTACTTACTCTCTCCTTCCTTCCTTCCTTCCTTCCTTCCTTCCTTCCTTCCTTCCTTCCTTCCCTCTTTCCTTCCTTTGTTCCTTCTTCCTTCCTTCTTCCTTTCATCCCATCCTTCCTTATTTCCTTCCTTCCTTCCTTATTTCCTTCCTTCCTTCCTTCCTTCCTTCCTTCCTTACTGCCTCCTTCCTTCCCTCTTTCCTTCCTTTGTTCCTTCTTCCTTCCTTCTTCCTTTCATCCCATCCTTCCTTATTTACTTACTTCCTCCTTTCTCCTTCCTTCCTCCTTCTTTCCTTCCTTCCTTCCGTCTTTCATTCCTTACTGCCATCCTTCCTTCACTCTTTCCTTCCTTCTTTCCTTCTTCCTTCGTTCTAACTGTACTTTCCTCCTTTTTACTGTCCATCCTCTCTTCTTTCATTCTTTCTTTTAAAGTTTTAATATTGTATATTTTATTCCCTTTCCTTCTTACCTCACCTGTGCCTACCTTTTATTTTTTCCTTCCTTTCTTCCTTCCTGCATTTCTTTCTTTCTTTCTGTCTTTCTTGTGTTTATTTTTTCCTTTCTTCTTTCCTTTTTTTCCCCTTTCTTCATTGTTTTTCATTTTTTTCATTCAATTCATACTTTAGAACGAAATAGATTTGCTATTCTTTCTTTCAATATTTCTTTCATTGAGTTTTTCTTCTTCATTTCCCTCTCACCCTCATCCTTATTGTTTTCTTTATCTTCTTTTTTTCTTTCACATTCTATCTCCTCTCCCTCCTTCTCAAATTCATTAAATATTCATTTTCCTCTTCTCTCTTACTGCAACCTTCAACATCTCTTTCTATCTCGCTCTTCCTTCCTTTCTACCCGTTTTTCTTCCATTTTTTTCTCCTTGCTTTCTTTCTTTGTTTTCATTTTTAATTTCCTCTCTCTCCACCCATGCTTCCATATTCTTTTACTTTATTTCTAGTCTCTTTCTTTCTTACCATTTGTTTACTTGTTCTCTATTTACTTCTTTCCTTCTTCTCAAACTCTTTTAATATTTAATTTACTTTTCTTCTTCCCTCAAATCCACCTTCTTTTCCTCATCCTCCCTTCCTTCCTGCCTTATTTTCCGTCCTGCCTTCCTTCCTTCTCCCTCCATTCCTTCCCTCTTCCTTCCTTCTTTCCTTCTCCCTCCCTTCCTTCCCACTTCCTTCCTTCCTTCCTTGTTTTTCTTTTCTGTCCCTCTTTCAGTTTTTCCTTGTTTTCTTTCTATTCTTCCCTTCTTAAACTTTTTAATATTTAAATTACTTTTCCTCTTTCCTTACTCTCACCTTCTTTTCCTCTTCCTTCCTTCCTTCCTTCCTTCCTTCCTTCCTTCCTTCCTTCCTTCCTTCCTTTCCATTCACCCTTCCTTTTCCACTTGTGTGCCTTCACTCTCTTCCTTAATTTTCCTTCCTTCCTTCCTTCCTTCCTTCCTTCCTTCCTTCCTTCCTTCCTTCCTTCTTTTTTTCCTTCCTTCCTTCCTTCCTTCCTTCCTTCCTTCCTTCCTTCCTTCCTTCCTTCTTCCTTCCTTCCTTCCTTCCTTCCCAAGTTCATCTATCTCCTTTGCTTCATGCCTTCCATTTTTCTTTTGCAGTCTTTCATTGTTTTTCTTTCATTCCACTCCTTCCTTCCCCTCTTCCTTCCTTCCTTCCTTTCCATTCACCCTTCCTTTTCCACTTTCATGCCTTCACTCTCTTCCCTAATTTCCCTCCCAGCCTTCCTTCCTTCCTTCCTTCCTTCCTTCCTTCCTTCCTTCCTTCCTTCTCCCTCCCGTCCTTCCCTCTTCTTTCCTGCCTCCTTTCCTTTCTTCCTTCCTTGTTTTTCTTTTCTGTCCCTCATTTTTTCCTTGTTTTCTTTCTCTTCTTTCCTTCTCAAACTCTTTTAATATTTAATTTCTTCCTCTTTTCTTTCACCTCCACATTCTTTAATACACTCTTTCTCTTTTCCTTCGTTCCAACCTTTCTTTACTTTCTTTCCTTCCCTTTTTTCCTTTGATTGCTTTTCTTCCACTGTCGGAACTAAAGAATTTCCACCAAAACTCGTTCAGCTGATTGCCAGGATGCAATATTTGGCTACATCCGTCACACATTTGCATCCACTGCTAGTTGCCATGGCAACATGGCTAAAAATGAAAATACATCAATCATCAATTTCTACCTCATCACCGGATTCCCGTCTACCCTTTTGCCCACCCCCAGTTCCTCATCAATATTTTGAACATTAGACCGGAAGTCTTTTCAGGAAGAAACTGAGAAATAGAATTTAATGGAAGATACTCTAACAATGTCCTTTCTCACAAGTTACACTGCACTTTCACACACACAGACACACACACACACACACACACACACACACACACATACACACACACACACACACACACACACACACATATATATACATACATATATATGTATATACACACACATATATATATTTATATACATATATGTATATACACACGCAGACATATATACACACACACACATATATATACAGAATTATACGCACACACATATATATACACTCGCATATATACACACACACACATATATATATACATTTATATATATATAGGCACACACTCAGATATAAATATATATAAACACACACATTTACATACACACACACATATACACACATGCATACATACACACACACACATATACACACATTTCTCTCTAGAACAATTACACTGGTTGCGTCATATTTTTGGCTATGTGCCACCTCTATGTTACACTTAGAAAATCACTACACACACACACACACATACATAAAATCTTTCTCTTAAAACAATTTCTCAGGAAAAAAGGTTTCTCAAGTTCGGTAGCTGTTAGTAGTGATGGGGGTTTCCTTCTCAACCTTTTATTCAAAGTAGTGGGAAAGTCAGCCTCTGATTATGATTATTTACACTTGGAGCTACATGTGATATCCATTTTAGTTGTTGCAGCTCTTGGCAGTCCTTATTTTGTTTATTAACTACAAGGTTTTCAGTTTTCCATTTCCTGTAATATATTTACACATTTTTCAGGAACTACAAATATTCCTAAATAGAACATAGCTCAATTCCTCTTCCAAAACAGTATTTCTGAGGGAACTAAAAATACACAAAACAAACATTAGTCAACAATAATTTTCCCAACTACATCATTGATAAACAAATAAAATTATCATTACAGAAAATACACAACACCAGTAACAAAAATACCACACAATAAAATACTACACAAATAAATACCACAAAATAAAATACCACACAATAAAATACTTCACAAATAAATACCACAAAATAAAATACTACACACATAAATACCACAAAATAAAATACCACACAATAAAATACTACACAAATAAACACCACACAAATAAATACCACACAATAAAATACCACACAAATAAATACCACACAATAAAATACTACACAATAAATACCACACAATAAAATACCACACAATAAAATACTACACAAATAAAATACCACAAATAAAATACCACACAGTAAAATACTACACAAATAAATACCACACAATAAAATACTACACAAATAAATACCACACAAATAAATACCACACAATAAAATACTACACAAATAAATACCATACAAATAAATACCACACAAATAAATACCACACGATAAAATATATTTTACAGTAACCAGATGCGCAATAATTATCAGCAGAGACTAGAAATAAATTTCTGCTTTAATACCCCCAAAAATATGTAAAACTTATATTACAGGAAATCGAAAACTGCAAACCTTGTAGTTAATAATCAAAATAACCACATCTAAACTGATGATGAACAATATAGCATATCAATTTCCCTGGTCATTACAAAACTGTGTTTCTTATAATAAATCAATTACCTATATTGGGCATATGACCACCAACTTGAGTAGATGCCTCTCATGTCACTTATCAGAACAAAATGCCCAAAACCACATCTATGAACACATAATCTACTAGAACCCTTAAAAAAGATACATTTCAAAAACAGTACAGTCCTTTGTAAATCAAATTTCTGAAAACACCTCATTATAAGAGAGGCTCTGTACATGAAACAGCTCTTCCCTACAATCAAGCTTACCTTCTTTAACAATGGTAATGGACTGCTGAAAGTCTTTTAAAAATGTAAAGTTGCCCACTCAAGTTCCAGCCATGCCCAACACACTATGGCTAGGAATTATATATATATATATATATATATATATATATATATCAAAATTGATATGAAAAAATAGATATGAAAAATAGACCAAATAAAAAAATACTGATGGATAAAAATATAGGAAGAATATTAAACAAGCCAATATTTTGAAACATTCACATTATTAAGGGATCAACTAATAGTAAAGAGAAGCCTGACCTGCGAATGCTGGTGGGTTGCAAGTGATAGGCCCCCATATGTTATTCGTATTTTTCTAAATGTGGGGCCAGATGCAATGGTCAGGATGTCTCCCATAACCCAAACCAACGCATCTGAAAATCTAGCCACTAGGAAAGAATGTTTGATGTCAGAACAGTATCAAGTGTTGGGTTTGGTGTTAATATCTGGTCAGTTGGTGGGGAAAGGTGATGATAGAGCCTCCCACCCCCAGAAAAATCAGAGCTTCCATTTTTTTTTTTTTTTTTTTTTTTTTGCGGGATAATTGTTATTCAGTGCCATAAGACTAACTATACATGCATCAATGACCAAAATGAAACGATGGAATACGGTTTAGGTTGGGAAAAATTTGGCATTCTGATGTGAAAGAAAATGATGTTTGGGTTCTTGCAGAATGTAAATGTACAGAAAAAAAAAAAGTCAGTGTTATTTTCCTTAAAGCTCTGAGTTTTTTTTTTACCAAATTTCATATTGCAAATACTTTATTTGCTGGCTTATTGGACACAGATTTTTTCTAAAAAATGCACCAAAAATTACTCTGCATCTAATACAGCAATATTATGTATGAGAGGGACATGAAGACCACAAAAAATGTGGGGTTCAACAAGAATCAGTGCATGCCTATAGCTTACCTCTGAAACTAAGAAGCCTAGAAGCAAACAAGCATCAATAGCAATAAAAATATTCCTGAAAAATTCCAAAAAGAAATTAAGAAATTTATGGAATTGTACAATATTTTGCAGTTTGTTTTGTAGAAATACCAGACTTTACCGAAATATTTGCTTTAACTGGTATATTGCTGCTTGCTTTGTGTGTGTTTTTGTTGATATACAGGTATTGGAATTTGCTTTTCTGCATATATGGTATGGGATTTCATTTACCAACAAGTACCATATTTCAGGGATTTTTGGCCTATTACCATATGTACTAGTGTTCATTGATACTAGTAGACTTCTTTATAGCTATTATGAATTTACTGTATGAAAAACAACGAAAACAATTTTCAATAAATAAAGGTTACCGTGAAAGTATTTGTAGAAAAGACAGAGGGTAGTGACGGCACATCTGTGAGAAAGTGATTATGATTTAAGAAACAGCAGGTATTTTTATGCATAGTGTTCAATATTAATAATATTAAAAACAGAGCATTAATAATATTACATAAAAAGATATATCTGCTGGCCTGATGGACACAGATCTTTCCTAAAAAATACCCTGCGTCCAATACGGTAGTATTATGTATGAGAAGGACATGAAGATCACGAAAAAAGTGGGTTTCACAAGGAATCAGTGTATGCATAGAGCTTAGCTCTGAAACTAGGATTCCTGGAAGTGAACAAACATGGTGTCAATAGAAATATCTCTGAAAGATCTATGGAATTGCACAATATTTTGCAGTTTGTTTTGTAGAAAAACCAGATTTTACCGAAATATTTGCTTTAACTGGTATATTGCTACTTGCTTTGTGTGTGTTTTTGTTGATATACAGGTATTGGAATTTGCTTTTCTGCATATATGGTATGGGATTTCATTTACCAACAAGTACCATATTTTAGGGATTTTTGGACTATTACCATATGTACTAGTGTTCATTGATACCAATAGATTTCTTTGTAGATAATTTGAATTTACTGTATGTGCAGATGTTTCTCCCTGAAAAAAAAATACAATTTTCAATAAATGCAAGATGAAATGTACTAAAATTCTTCTTTTCCAAAAAATGTCCTGATAATTAAACCTTACATTAAAAAAAGTACCAGTCATATAATTTGTGCTAATACTGTAAGTGTTTCTTCATGGTTAGTGAGAATGTCACATAAAGGTAAATTTACAATTTTGATTCTTTTGCTTGGGATGTGTGCATTTTTTTCCCTAAATATTCCATGCCTAAATCTGGGTACGTCCAATGTGTCAATATATATTTTGAAATCTTTTGACAGCATTTCTGGTGAATCAGTGGACATATTATTGCAATTTGTTTTTTTTTTAACATTAGTTCACGTAAAACGAAACCCAAGAGCCACTCAAGCTAGAGGGAGACTGAGTAAGATAGTGTGTAAACAAGGAGGAAATGCATATTATGAGGATATTTAGGATAGATATGAGTTGCTCAGAAGATATGAATGGACTTGTCCGAGAATCATCATCTCAAGAATCATAAAAAAATGGTTCTGAAGAAGAAGCTGTCTGAGTGGAACTTAATTCTTACCAAAGTAATGGTTCTGAAGAAGAAGCTGTCAGAGTGGAACTTAATCTTTTCTAAAGTAATGGTTCTGGAGAAGACGCTGTCTGAGTGGAACTTAATCCTTACCAAAGTAATGATTCTGGAGAACAACCTGTCTGAGTGGAACTTAACCCATAAAGTTACATTAAGAAATGGTTCTGGAGAAAAAGCTGTCTGAGTAGAACTTAATCTTTACCAAAGTAATGGTTCTGGAGAACAAGTTGTCCGAGTGGAACTTAATCCTTACCAAAGTAATGGTTCTGGAGAAGAAGTTGTGTGAGTAGAACTTAATCGCTATCAAAGTAATGGTTCTGGAAAACAAGCTGTGTGACTGGACCTTAATCCTTACCAATATAACCGTTTTGGAGAAGAAGCTGTGTGAGTGGAA